TAGATCCTTCCAATGATGATCATGTGAAATCAATGGTTGAAAATGATTGAAAAACTTGCAATGCTAAAAAATTGAATTTCTTGGAAAATTTCGCTTGAAGTAACTAGTTACCCAGTATGTGGTAACCGGTTACCACATTCAAAAAAAGTCCAAATTGACGCCAAATGAAGGGAATCCTGTATAATCACTCGTTGCCACCTGTTATAAGCTTTATTAAGCCTCTGAAACTTGCCCTTGGATATTATGATTGTAAGAATGCTTGAGATAGCCTATACACCATCTCATGAGCTGAAAATAACTTGCTGGAAAGAATAAAACCGACTGCTTGATCACTGGGCAAAATAAATGTCGGAGTCTCTGATGCTCGCTGCTTGAACTCTTGCAACAAAAAGGAACCCTCAGCCACAAAAATACCTTGATCCAATTTCTCGAGAATTAGTGCTATGATATGCAAAAATGCAAAATGTAAGGAAATATAAGCCAGTAAACCAAGAAATGATGAGGCACATTTTGGGGTGCTACAGTGAGAGAGACTTTCAGACTATGATCATTTATACACCATCAACTTCTATAGTAATACTTTTCTCAAGAGTATTTTATAGACCTTCATCAAAACCCTTTATTAATACCAATGAATTAAAAATATATTTTTCTTAATTCGTCATTTAAATTCAGCACAATCACCTTTTGAATATGGTAGGATTAGCAGTGTAATATTTTTCATGTGGTATATAACTCCTTCTTGAAGGAAAGTCTTTAGCAGAAATATTTTTCTAATTAGATCATTATATTCACCATTGTTAAGTGTTATGCATAAACCATGCTCTGATACCAACTGAAGGTGAGAAAAATACACAAGAATAGGGTTGAATTGTTTTTTCTGTTTCTTAACTTTGTTTCTTATCAAAGTTCATAATCTAAATTGGTGTTTAGATTCTGATTATATGTTGCAGCAAAATGTTAACAGAAGCAAATAAAAGATAAAGAACACACAAAAGATTTATAATAGTTCCTCCTAAAAGAGAGTAGTATAGCCCCTTTGCTTCACATGAGATTTTCACTATAACCAAAACATGATTACAATCGCTTATGCACTTAAGCATAAGATTTTCTTTGCTTAGAACCTCAGCCAAAGACTTCCTGCTTAAACCCCTCAGGTCCAAGACTCCTGCTTAGATTCCCCGAACCCAATACTTCCCTTTTTAAGCCCCTCAGACTCAAGACTTCTGCTCAAACCCTCGGTCCAAGACTTCCCTACTCATATTCCATGAATCCAAGACTTCTACTCAAGTCCCTCAGGCCATAGACTTCACTTCTTAAGTTCAACGAACTCAAGACTTCCTTACTCAAGTTCCACAAACCCAAGACTTCTGCTAAAGCCCCTCAGGCCGAAGACATTCTTACTTAAACCTTTAGTCTAAGACTTTATGCTCAATTAGCAATTGATCAAGACTTTCAATGCTCTAGCACATAGCAGGAGACTTAGTTGACTCTAGCCTTTCAGCAAAGACTTTGATGCTCAAGCACATAGCAAGAGTCTTTTATCTAAACTACTAAAAAATCATATTTAGCAGAACAGAGAACAAGGTGTACTTGATACAAAATCAAAGGTATAGGGTAATCATCTTAACAAAGACCTCTAAGCACTTAAGATGTCTAAGATATTCAATGTTTAAGAAATCTTAAGGCTTATTACAATTTACAACATATAACAGAAAATATGCATAGTTGATTGCGTTGCTTATTATATGATCTTGTTATTCCTCCATCCACACAGAAGTGTAGAACACTTCTATCCTTCTTGGTTTTTCTTCTATATTTTCCCTTTTGATTGCTCCCTTGTTGAAGACTTTAGTTTGAATCTTCAGTAGCTTATATAGCAGTTGTAGAAGACTAACTGTTGGAAAGATAACTTGAACAAGTGCCTTTGTTTCTCAATAGTACAAGAGACGTTGAAGAGAGATACACCAAAAGATCTTAGTACATTGTGTAACATGTTTCACCACTGCGTCTTCCATGTAGTCTTGTACTATAGAGTCATTGAGAGTAGATATCCGTAAAACATGTCAACTCTTCTTGAGCCTAGTAAAAAATAGACTCTACCTGACAAGCTAATTTAACAATGCAGCTGCTTTCTACATTACGAATAACTCAAACTTTATTACTAAAATATGAATGTTCACCAGAAGTTGATACATTAACTTAGTGTAGAGATAATATGTTGCTCTTCTGATACTGAAGTCTTCAACTTCAGAGTTCACGTTAGACATCACTTAGATAATGTTCTTGAGGTTCTAATCCATCAGAAGCTAGTAACTCAACTCCTTTCAAATACGTCCTTATATCAGATTTTGAATGCCTTCTTTTCAAGCCTTAGAACATGCATACTTGAAACACACATTAGATAACACCATTGTTCTTTTAATACTTTGTTTTCATCAAAATCCAAGAGATATATGTCATGAATAAATCTTGTTCTAACACATACAATCATAAATCCACAATAATGCTGAGAAATATAAATATCTTATTTGAAACTTGACTTGTATACACCGTAATTTCAAACTCTTCTACGAAATCTTTGCTCGATTCATGATTCTTAAATCATCCAACTTCATCAATCTATTTTAAGTTTTCATGTGTAGCAATCACCCCTTGATCCTACTGATTTCTTGAGCGATGAACTGTCTTAATATTTGAGAAGAACTCCACCTTATATGTAGTCTTCCATACAATCACTACTAAGGTAATCTAAAGAGAAGAACCCCTTTCATTTCATTGGGATTTTTCATCACCAATGACAATAATCTCAATCTTGCAAGCTACTTGGAAATCTCAACCAAATCTATAAGAATAATTAGTTTCAAGATGGCATCTCCCTCAATCAATTAAAAATTTCTCATAGTCAAGATCTAAAATCAAACTAAAGGTTGGAGATGCAAGAATTTTGTGGCAAGAGTTTTTTGAACTTTCAAAATGAGAGTGTTAATTTCACAAAATCACAATGCAAAAATGTTCTAAAGTTATGTATGTAAAAGGATGACAAAAGGATTCTATATGTGCTCGAAATAAAACACAAGAATAAATGGAAAATGTTAGTTAAATTCGAATGAAAAACATTTTATGATTTAAGTCAAACGAGCAAGTGAAGTGGAACAAGGAAAAGTGATTTTTACACATTTATCATCTGATTTGAATCAAGTGTAACTCTGATTCGAAACAAAAAGCCTATGATTCGAATTAAGTATAAATTATGATTTCAATCAATTCAAGCAGAGAAAAAGAGAAATGTGGAAAAACAGTTTGATTTGAATCAGATGTAAAGTTTGATTCGAATCAAATCAAGCAGAGGTGACCCAGATCGTTTTGATTCGAATCAAATGTAAAGATTGATTCAAATCACAAAGCTACCTGATTCAAATCATGTTAAAAGTCTGATTCAAATCAAGTTAAAAGCCTGATAGATTAAGTGTTCGAAAAAATTTGATTTGTCTCTGTCATAGTCAGATATGCACATGATTCGAATCATGCACACAAATCTCAATTTTTCATAATTATCAAAATACATTGAAAATTTTCTTTTCACCTAACTTGAACCAATAATACACATGGTTCTTATTCCACTAACATATACAATTAACTAAAATCATCATAATCTAATTCAAATATAACTATTGATTTATTCATGCTAAAAACAAAACGATTCATACTTGATTCAGAGATGATGTGCAATTATGAAACAGACTCAATAAACAAAAATAAATAAAAACAAAAGCAACAAGACAAATAACAGAATCGTATTGTGATTTTCCCCTGAATATATTAGAAACATACAACTTGAGTCTCCCCTAAAAATATACATCTTAAATATGGCCCCTTCCTAGTATCGACCAAAGCCGATATGACCAGCTCAGAACAATACTAATTAAATTAGTTCATGTTCTTGCAAGGCTCTACCAATCCCAACCCCTTTGAGTAATATTTAGGCTTGAGTTTTTTTTTTTTTTTACAAGTTTTAGAATTTAGGTAGACTTAACTCAAACATAAAATACATTCTGAAATATATTTTGTTTTGTTCAAAATTTTAAATTATCAAACAATTAAGACAGTTTATATTATATTTAGCATTTAACATATATCAAATGAATGAGAAATTATCATGTCACCCCCTCACTAATAAATGACTTTTTTTGATTATGGCGAAATTTCATTTTTGCCTTTTAAAAATTTTTAAAATTATGAAATTTATAGATGTATTTCGAAAATTTCATCATCATATATCATAAGTTTTAGAAATTTTCATTTTTTTACCAGAAATTTTAAAATTTCAGAAAAAATACCAAAATTTTCTTTTTTTTTATCAGAAATTTCAAAATTTTCAAAAAAAAAAAAAAAAATTTTTACATTACCACCAATTTCGAAATTGATGGTACTGTACCAAAAATTTTAAAATTTTCAATACTGTACAACCAATTTTGAAATTGATGGTAGTGTAAAAAAAATTTGAAATTTTTCTACTACCAAAAATTTCAAAATTTCAAGTATAGTACAACAATTTTAAAATTTTCAAAAATTTTCACATTGAAAATTTTAAAATGTTTTAACTTGCTTCAAATTTTTTGAAAGACAGTTTTAGTATTATAAAAATTTTGGAGGGGTGTCGGGTATAATTTGGGATTGACAGGTTAAATTCTCCGGTCAATAATATCATATGAACAAAATATCATATGGTTTTATTGATCCACTCCGTACAAAAGAACTCCCGCTTGAACTGTTCAATGGCAATTTATCAATTGAGTGCCCTCTAATAAGAAGGAAGAAAAGGAGAAATGAGAGAGAAAAAGACATTTGAGTACAACATTTGGACAATTGGTCTGCATCATGGGCCACTCATGAACGAGTACGTAAGTTTGCAAAACACAGTGATCTATGAAACCATTTTCACCGCGTCTGTTCACTCCATGCCTTGCTTTTGAAAAATTCACAGTGTGAAACTATTTTCATCGCTTCTGTTCACTCCACGCCTTGCTTTCGAAAAATTCACCGAGCATTTGTTCAAGATTCTCAGGAGAGTATCTGATGTATTTTTGAGGATTTTTTCCATTCTCAATCAAGGGCCTGAAAGATCAAATAATATGTCATCAACAAGCGGATAAAAATAATGTATATGAGATGAGATGATTAGAGAACAGGTAAGAAATACTACCCAAAACGCTTATGAAAAGATCTATAGGCAGGCAACAGAACTTCGGCAACAGCCAATCTAAGTGATTCACGCAACTCACTATCAGGAACAGTCCACTGAGATTGTCTCTGATGAAGCTCCTCAAATTGAGTGTTAAATGTCTTGAACCTGTCTTTAACTGCTGTTCTTGAAAGTCCGCTGTCCGCTCCACCAGATGAATTAGTTCCTTGGACAGTGAGGCACTGCAAGATCTGCAGGATCATATCACACCAGCTAGCTATCAATGAAAACTCCATCACACGATTTGGTTTAACATCATTAACACTCATATTGCATAACAAATACAATAGTGAAGTTGGTACATATTTACGAAAAACAAGCAACTTGTCAATTTAAGAACAATGTGCTACCGAGACATCAAGCAAGGCTCAAGTGTCAAAAACTTTCACGGCCACAGAAAGGACATGCAGGATTAAATATAAAGAAATTAACCTTTGCCCAAGAGATCCTTTTATATTGATTTGCATGTTGCTGCACAATTCTTCTGTGTATTTGTACCCAGTCATCCCCCAACATGTCCTTTGCCTCTGACCTGTAAGTAACAATAGGCAAATTCGTGCTGAATCCAGATAGAATCTCCAACTTAAGATTTTTCATTACAGAAAGGGAAAAAAATATACAACCAACCTTCTCACAGATCTCACTATGTAATGGATGTTGTTCATAAGAAATAATTGGGTTAGTCCTGGGTCCTTATATAGTTTAGATTTTCCATCTAAGTTATTCTGGAGAGCCTGCATAATCCTTGTTGTAACAGATGCTAACTGAGCTTCTGGATCGCCAGGATCAAACTCTTGAAAAAGTTGCTTCAGAGTTGCTTGATAACTGACCACATTCAGAACCCACAGCTGATGGTCTTAGAGAAACTTACAAAGACAATACAGTCTAATTAGCGAAAATTCAGAGGAACTTCATAAGTTTTACTCACTCGTAGAGAAATTTCACGTAATTGATGACATAGCTGGTTAGAGGGTGGACAGTTCCATCTTGCACAGCAGTTTTTGTGGCATCTTTTTCAACTGCTTCCTCAAAGTCACCAAAGGTTTCTTGGGCTGTCTGAGCAAGCCGCTTTGTCAAATTGATTGCAGCTTCCCGCATTTCAGCGCAAACTTTACTATCAAACAGTATCTCAATCTGCATCATGTACCAATCCCACCCAAAACAGAAAAAATATAGATAATAATAAGAAAATAGTGCAATAATAACAAACAAAGTAAATATCTATATAATATGTTCTATTTATAAGAACCGTTCATATATATTATGCATCCTATGAAAAGTAATAGTAAAATTTGTTTAGATTTTATGTGTAACTATTACAAATTGGTAGTATTAATGAGGGATGTATTTGGAAAATGAATAATAAATGTATCCAGTAATTTGCTAAGAATCTTATATTTAGGGACATACATATGACAAAAGGAACCAAGTTCAGGTCTACAATAATGCTGGCTATGCAGAGAAATTATTTAAAATAGTAATGTTTCATACAAAAAGTGCCAGCACAAACCTACAATCAAAATTATAATTACTTTAGCAATTTTTTTTTTCCTCTCAACTCTTTCCTTGCCTCCAAGCCTAGTTGAGGAAGACTATCTTTAGGCTTCTTTGGATTGACATGCATCCATCAAATAACAATCTTCTTCAAATTGAAACAAGCAAATACAAATTCAAATTGAAAACTAAGAGTTTCCAAAAATAAAAAAGATATCCCTGAGAGCCTCAATATTATATCATGACTCTTACAAGAAGCATCATTTCAACCCTAAGCTAAATGGACATGCATAAATCTGGTGAAACAAAGACAAATTTAAACTTAACAATACCTCTGGTTGAAGTTCTCTCATTATCTCATACATGTCGAGAAGAACAAATAGTTTTTCAGGTGACCTCTTGCTTCTGGCAACAGCCTCCCCAAAACTAAGAAGCATAGCCACACTGCTGCCAGTGGCTTCAGCAAAGCATTGAGTTTTTACTGACTCATGACCATCAAATATTTGATCACAGATTTTTTTTTCCCCCACAATCAACAATTTGATCTGGTCAACAAAACATGGAGATGCACGCATGAGTCAGTAAAATTTTTTTACCGACATAACCTTTCTATGATAATGATCATGTGTATTGATCAGTACAAAACATGAATATTCAGATCATGTGTATGATCAATATACAAAATCCTTACAAAACATCAATATACTGATCATGTGTATGATCATGTCCTTACATGTCAATATACTTGAAATCTGAGTAAGGACAGAAATAGAATAGATTAAAATCACGGAGATGCATATTCATCCTTACAGAAATCCTCATGAAATGAATCCAGTTTCCAATCTTAGCCTCCAAAACCTCCCATTGCATTTTTTGAACATCCTCCTTACTCAGCCTCTCAACACCTAACTTTCTTAGACTTTGCTCCAGGACTGCAGCACGGGTGTCTCTACAATATGGAACATATAATTATCATAAATCAATCTAAATTTGGAAGAATGTATGTGCAGACTTATTTCAGCTTGATCTCATATATTTCCAGCTCTGTACATAAAAAGTGTAGCCTAGCCATCAAATATTAAAGAAAGAAGAAAAAGTTGTTACGTATAGACTCGAAAGAGCTGCTGTTGATGGCCTGCTTGAACCATTTGCTGTGCTAATTCATGAAGCAGAGGTATAACTCTGGGGGGAATAAGAGTTGGGAGAGTGAAAGTGACAGTTTCTATGCTTGGTTTTTCTGAATGGGTTTTGCCACCGCCACCATTCTGCTGCCCAGAAGATGATGGCCTTAGAGAGTTAGGTAAGCAGTCAAAAAGGCGATCAGGTTCCACAGGCTTGCTGAAATCAAAAGCCAATATTTTAAAACTATATCACCATGATTGAAGGTTTCAGACAGAAAAACATTGCTGAAACCTTTCGAGCATCTACAATTAGATAATGCATAAACAACAAGACTCTTCTGAAGAAGCTGCAAACTTTTATGAATATAAAGCAAATATGCAAGTTTTTCCTGTTCTAGATTCAATAAGTATTACATTTGATGGAAAATTAATAATAGGTAAGTTTGTACTGTGCTGCATGCGGAAAAAAATATGTTCTCTAACTTTAGTAAGAAAGTTTAACCCATGAATATAAAAATGCAAATAAAATCTATTTATGCACATATATGATTTGAAAATTACTACAACTGCTATAATGTAAATGAGAAAACTAAGGTTACAATTGTTAGGTATCCAAAACCATATAACTCAATAGTGGTAATCTTCTTGAAAGAAGGGCTATATAATGCTTAAGATAGTGTCTAAAAGGGATGAAAATCCAAAGATAAGAAGAGGCTAAATGTAATACATACATAAACACACGCCTACTGAAAATAACCTGTAATTTGTCAAAAGATGTTTAAATTCATCTTCAAGCTTTAAAATAGCTTTAGCAAGCAAGCTGTTTGCATGGTTGATGATACTATCACTGCTTTTGAAACTCTTTTTGCTGCTGAAGAAACGAACATTAGCTCTAAGCTGATCAACTGCTCCCAAATAGCTTTCTAAATCCTCATGTGGCCCTCGCAATATTTTAGCCTCTGCCTAACAATCAAGTTTGATCGAAAATCATTAAAAAGCCAATATGTATATAAGATTCAGTTATAGATGCAATTTAAAGACACCATTACCAATATGGTAAAAACATTAATCTGAAAATCAACACTGAATTTATACCTAAAAACAAAATTTAGTATAATAGGTTGTGGAAGGTGGAAGGGTTATCAATATAGGAAACAATGGTGTCAATTTTGTCAACAAGCACGCTCCTTACATTAAATGATAAAAAATTTCATTTTAAAGTTAACAATTAAATTAAAACTTAGTAGACCATTATGATATGTACTAGAGCAGCATATAGAAGAACTACGGAAAAAAATGTAGTATTTCAAAACCTATCAAAAACAAGGAGTCAACATTTATTTTTCTGCGCCTTTGGTTTTCCTGAAAACTCAAGACTAAAATAAAAAAACACTTCATGAATCAATCCTTCTATTAAAGAATTTATAGAAATGGCTAAAGTCAAGACCAGAATTCCAAGACATTAGACTAGTAGAATAAACACACAAGAAATATGAAAGTTCCATCCGTTCATATTTTCACATTAAGAAACTCTACCAAGTACCAACACTCTTTAATAATATATTTTCAACACTCTTCATGATTGAGTAAAGTTCATGTGGGTTGTACCCCTTTGGAAATTGATTCACTAATTAGGAAATGAGACTGGCTTGATTTAACAAGTTCCACCCGAATTTTATCCATCCATAGAGATAGTTTGGAAATAAAGTAAATTCTTATCAGTCTTCTCTCACGTTTAACAATATTCAAACAGTTCACTCTGGTGCTTCTATAACAATACAAACTAGCAACGTGAATAGGAGCCACATCTTAACAGTCAGTAGGGGAAAGTCAATGTCTAAGCTCTAAACGACCTATTTCATCAAGTAATTAGACTTAGTGATTAAAGTGCTTCAATTAAGGTCGAATTGACTTAGTTGTTATGTACAAGGTTTTAAATAATGGTCATCGTCGCGTAAAGCTTTTGCGATTTCGGTAGGTTCAGATGTTGCAACATTGATTGCGGTCGTTGAGCTATAAATTAACCACAATTTATTCTTTATCACATACGTGAATAGGTCGTTGAGGTATAAATTAACCACAATTTATTCTTTATCACAAACGTGAATAAAGATATCAGTATCAGCATCTTCTGATACCATTTTGTCACGGTCGTTTCACGGTCTTTTTCTCCATTAGAACTTTAGATTGTTATAGAAATTTAGACACAAAAGAGTAGTAATCAATTTTTTGAACAGAAACTTAACCACCTGCTGCAGAAACATGAAATCAATTGAAAATGAACCAAAAACAGATTTACATACCTTGCGTGTCTGATCAAATTGCGTCAAAATCACTTCCGCAGCTTTCAAAGTCTTATCAATATTATCATGAGCACTTCGAATCGAATGCGTTTTTATCTATCACATAACAAATCAAACATTACACAGCAAAGAAACCCTAAAAAACACTTCATCCAAGTCAAGCCAAACGCGTAATCACATTACCGCATTATTTCCGTCAGAGTACCTGAGTGGGACGCATTGCGGTTTCGAGGGCGGAGAGACGATGATCGAAGGAACCGAGAATTGAAACCATGTTATCTGTGATGGTTTGGCTTCTGTGAAGAGAGTCTTTCACGAACGATGCTCTTTCTCGGAGAGCAACCATGGCTTGAGGAATTCCCATTGTGAGCGATTTTTCAGTATTTTTCTATCATTTTCTCGTTTTTGTTTGGTGAGTGAGAAAATGAAAACGCATAACGCGTTTTGATTTGATCTGAAAATTGGTAATGGATTATTTCGTTTTTGGATATTGCTTCGAAATAAAATACGTCAGTTGTTGGTGGTGGTTCTTACAGTGTTTCCGCGCTCGTAGCCAGTTGGTTAAGAAATCAGTTGAAGTGTGGCCCTCTTGGCCCCTCACCTATATCTTGCGTGGGACCTTATCTCGTTCCGGTGCTACTTTCTCAAAAAAAAATTTTATTTATTTTAAATGAAGAATGTATAATGAAAAATTATAATATGAAAAATTTTCAACTATAAACTTGCAATATGCTAACACAATATAAATTATTTTTGACAAAAGATATCAATACCCAAAATAAGAAGAAACAAATAAATAAAAAGTATAGCATCTTTTTCAACCAATTGTTAGTTGAAATTTCAGAAATGACTGAATATAATGGTAGGAAAAGTGCAACTGAGAAAATAATAAAAGAAGAAACAATGATTTGAAACACCTAATATGAAGCCTTAAGAGAAACTTTTATATTGGTTTTCGATAATTCTACCACTAAAATTATAATTTTACTTTATTGACATTGAATAGCAAGTCTCGTGTCGCTAAAATAAGTAAGAGGGATATAGCCAGTAGGAAGTCAAAGAACGCAATAGGGCAAGGGATACATTGTGACCATTTCTAACTAACTACTAGTTTGGTATTTGCCAGAGGAGTGGAGGGGGTTGAAATTCTATGTCATGTTATGATATATATATATATATATATATATATATATATATATATATATATATAGATATTAGAAGATAGATATCAAAAGTGAGATAAACAGAAAATCTCTTCCATTTCTTTGTTGAAATTTACCAAATTTAATCATCAATTTGTTGCTTAAACATATTATTATAAAAATTCAAATTCAAATTCAAAAGATATAATATAAGAGTCTCAAGATATGGTCTGAGATTGAATTTATATGTGGGAGATCAACAAAATCATGGTATTTTATATACCACCACTAAAGAAGAATTTGACGCAGAGCTGTCTAAGAGCTTTCTTGTTAGTGATGGTGATACCCTCGAGATATTCCTGTTTTTCCATATATCTTTTGATGTCGTAGAACCAAGGTTTGTCGTCAGACTCGTCCTCGATTGCTAAGCAGTGTGCTGGTTCGTTCAAATGATCAATGTGGATAGAAGGAGCTTCATTCTTCCACTTAACTTTAAACATGGATGACAGGGTGGCAAGAGCATCGTCTAGTTGATTTTCTTCCCTTGGAATATGATGAAAATAGATTTCATCAAAATAAGGAATCAATTTCGCGATGTGCTTTTGGTACAGAACCAGCTTGGAATCTCGGGTCACAAAATTCTCTCTAACTTGGCCAATTACCAGGGCAGAATCTCCATAGACCTCAAGAATCTTGACTCTCATGTCAATTGCCGCTTCAATTCCGTAGATACATGCTTCGTACTCGTCCATATTGTTGGTGCATTCAAAGCATAATCTGGCGTTGAAGGGAAGATGAAAGCCTGTTGGAGAGATGAGGATAACACAAATTCAACAACCTTTAGCATTGGCGGCACCATCGTACACAAGCGTCCATCGCACCCTTGGTTCAGGTCATATATCAGGGTCTGAAGTCTCATAATCTCTGATGAACAGAACATCCTCATCGAGAAAGTCAAATTTAATTTGTTGATAACCCTCCACAGGCTGATGAGCAAGATAGTAAGACAAGATGCTCCCTTTTATTCCTTTCTGGGTAACATGTTGGATATCATACTTAGTTAACAACATTTGCCACCGAGCAATCCATCTAGAGACAGCAGGCTTTTTGAATATGTACTTTGTAACACCCCCTTCTATACCCCCAAATAAACAATAAATCATATAAGCACATATTAAAATTTCATCAGAGTATAATTGAAAACACGGTATAAAAGGAGCATGTCACACAATACGTGAAATAAAACATACAACACCTGCTCAATAGAGATATGCAACAGTGGGGTAGCTCCAACAGAGGAACTTAATCCTTACACCCACATCTCAATATTTAGAATTAAAAGCGGAAAACCTAAACATTGAATCACTTTAAACATGCTAATCATATAAATACATATCATTCAGTTTGATTCACCACATCATTCATGTTTACATAAACATTTGTCATCAGATAATATATACAAATGTATCTCAAAAGAATGTTATACAATCCTAACTACCCGGTGCTACATATCAGAGCTTAACCGACCAAAAGAATAAAGATATACTTCACAAAAGACTTCCATCAAAGTTAATCTGCAATGCCTCATAGAGCATTATAACACAGCAGAAGGGTGAGAAATATTATCATAATAATCAATGCATATAATTATATATATATATATATATATATATATATATATATATATATATATATATATATATATATATATATATATATATATATATATATATATATATATATATATATATATATATATATATATATATATATATATATATATATATATATATATATATATATATATATATATATATATATATATATATATATATATATATATATATATATATATATATATATATATATATATATATATATATATATATATATATATATATATATATATATATATATATATATATATATATATATATATATATATATATATATATATATATATATATATATATATATATATATATATATATATATATATATATATATATATATATATATATATATATATATATATATATATATATATATATATATATATATATATACAAGCATAAAATACACATATTCCGCATTTCTCACCACAATTCATTATCATCATCATATACATCACAACATATGTATATATAAACAAATATGGAATGATCACCAAGCATATTTATCATACACACATCCATAGTTCTCATCAATTCACCTAACATACACATATGCATAAATTCACACAACATTTATCTCTATGCCATGTGACTCAATGCAACTCATGCCATGTGGTACCAACATTTGTTATCATTTTTCAGTTTTTACATTTAAACTGAGTCCTTCCTCTAGACCGATAACAACAAAAGCTCGTCCTCTAAGCTTTCAAACCCACTCTTCTAGGTTTGGGACAAGTCACTAGTCTCCACGAAACTAGCAAGCATTGCCTCTTGACTAAATGATGCGTATGAAATCAACAACCATATGCACTTAAGACCGTTATCGCATCTTAATCTCATGCATACTCAAATAATCCATCAAACAAGAATTATATCATGATTGCACACTCACACATCATATCAAAGTATTCATACTTTTCACATCATCACATATCAAGCAATGCACACATATTCACAATATGTTCTCATGCATTATTCACAATATTGCATATAATCAATATACATTCACAACCCAATACCATCACCATATTTTCAATCAATGCACACATATTCACAATATGTTCTCATGCATTATTCACAATATAGTGCCAAACTGCAACGAACCTCATCATAAATCATCATGCATTTTTAATCAATTTAAAACAATGCATTATATATGCCAAAAGGCCACATTTCACAATATTGCACAATCTAGGATTCACACCCTACGGCTACCCGCAGCATATATCACAACACACAATTACTCATTTCAGATCAAGATTGAACATAATCGAACCAAACAATCAACATTGGATGGAATCACAAAGAAATGAGAATGATGTCACGCTCGATGGCTTGCTCGCCTAGCGAGCCCCTAGCGAACACTCGCTACCTGTTCGCCTAGTGAACAAGCTCGCGAAGGAAAACAGAAGCTACTGTAAGGCTTCGCTACCTATTCGCTGCAACGAGGTCCTAGCGAGTCCTTCACTACCTCACTCGCTACCAGCGAACAAGATCAAACACATTCTGTCCAAGTCTGGGACCACTCGCTACTAGCTCGCTACAATGAACACTCGCGACCTACTCGCCTAGCGAAGGTGCTAGCGAACGTCTACGATGTTCAAAACCTTCACTGTCCAAAACTCTCCAAAACTCCCAAAATAACCCGATTCAATTCCAACGAGTTCTAGTACTCTTAGTCTAACAATCCTCAACTAATCTACACCACTTATTCCGGATTCCAACTGTTAACACCTTGATTCTACCGATTAAACTCATCTATGCCCTAGAATGGAAAATGGAGAAAAACATCCAAATAATCCAAACCAATCATACATAATCATATACATTGATAATATAATGATATTTCACACCCTTACCTTGATTAAATCGAAAGCTAGAAGTTGTTCTTGATGATTCTAAGCTTTTTCCCTTTCTTCCTTTATTCTCCTTTTTTCCTTTCTTTCTTTTCTCTTTCTCTTATGTTTCTATCTTTTCCTTTTCTTTCCACTTTTTCTTATATTCTTTCCATTCTATTTCCTTCCATTATATTTCTCCTCTCAAATATCTACCAATAATTCCAATAATTAAAATCATCCAAATAAATCAATTATCTAATACGAATAATTAGTTATTGAAAAATTAGGCTGTTACAACCCTCCCCCACTTTAGGAATTTTCGTCCTCGAAAACGTTACCTGATTCAAACAACTCTGGATAAGACTCCCTTATCTGACTCTCAAGTTCCCAAGTCACATTCCCACCAGCCGGTCCTCCCCAAGCGACCTTCACCAAATCAATCTCTTTGCCTCGAAGTTGCTTCAACTCCCGATCCTCTATCCGCATAGGTGATGTCTCTACAATCAGGTTATCTCTCACCTGCACATCATCTACTTGGACTACATGAGACGGATCCGCAATGTATTTCCTCAACTGAGATTCATGGAACATGTCATGGAGATTAGCAAGCGACGATGGTAAAGCAACACGATAGGCTACCTCTCCTATCTTCTGCAAAATCTGATAAGGACCAATAAAACACGGCGTCAACTTACGCGACTTCAATGCCCT